TTCGGAGTTATTTAAAGTTAATTCATCAGCTTGTCGATTCCTTTAAAATTATTATACATTTTCATCTTCTAAAATAATAAAATTTTCACTCTAATAACACCATGTCAGATGTCACATGTCACATGTCAACATGAAAAAGAAAAGTAGCTCTGCTCTCTGCCTAATTAAAAAAACAACTAAAGAGGATTTATTCTCTTATATACTTAGTAGACCGTTTGTAGAAATCCCTTTTTTCACCGGACGACGGACCGTCAAAAAACGGATTCATTTGACCGCTTGTAAACATCCGTTTTTTTGACCGGACTACGGCACTGTAGAGATACAGGGTGTTTTTGTTATCAGTATTCAAATTTTTAGGAGCGACTCAGATTCAGGAACATAATCGATTTACGTGAAGAAAATAAAATAAATTTTTAAAGAAAAATACCGCGATTAAGTACTATAATTTTTCAATGGTTCTAAAGGAGCTTATTAAAAAAAATTGGATAGTTTCCTATTGATAACAAAAACACTCTATAAAATAAAAAAATCAAAATCAAAATTTTCTTTATTTGTTTAGACTAATTAAATTAGTAGGTACTTGCAAATCGTCAAATGCTCTTAAGGAGCCTATACATGTCTCATTCTTTTTTTGCCCTACCAGCGCTTCGAGACAAACATTTGGCAAGTGCTGAGAAGAAGCGCCGCAACAAACTCAGTCACCACTGTCTGCCGGTTTAAAAATATAAAAAAGTAGGAAGTTACAATACATTCAGAAGCAAGTTACTTACCACGCGCTTCCGTTGATAGAAGGTGGCCTTTAAGACGCCCATCTAGCACGAGACCGCGTGGCAGTTTTGTATTTATTTTATTTAGTGCCGTGTTAATTTCTAGGTTAATTGTTGCGTTTTGATACATATAATATATTTTATGTCAGGTATATCTTTCCTTGACCAGTCCCCGAAGGCAGCGCCTGTTCACAGACATGACGTGTGAACCAGCCATCGCTTCGATATAAATATCGATATAAATATCGTCCATACGAGTATATCGTAATTTCCTCCTTTCTCCCGCAGTTGCTTCTCGTGGTAGCGTTGGTGGTGGTGGCTTTCGCCGCCGCCGTGCCTCAGGGGGAGGAAGACGCACCCATTTAAGGAGTGGCCATAACTGCCAAAAGGTGACTTTCAAAAATTGTAGTGGCTATAATTATGCTAAGTACCTAAAGCCTGGTCCGTGAGCACGTAGAATCCCGTCCAATGACCCCAAGCTGCCCATCCTTGTCGCTCGCACGTAATTATGTTGCTGTCGCGCTCGCACACTCACTGCGGGCGCGCGTCGCACAGTCGCGACAGCAATATAATTACGCGCGAGCGGTAAGGATGGGTAGCTTGGGGTCATTGGACGGGATTCTACGTGCTCACGGACCAGGCTTTAATAACAAATTCATTTTCTCTTGTGCCAAATTATGGAACACCAAACAATCCACACAACTTTAACCGCCTCTGTGGTCTAGTGGTAAGACCACCTGCTTCAGACGCAGAGGTCCCGGGTTCGACTCCCAGTGGGGGCAGATTTTTCTGTTCGGTTTGGTTGGTGGTAGGGCTTGCTCTAAGTCCGCCTGGCTAGCTACCACCATCTTACCTCTGTCGCCACTACAACAATGTTAACAGCATTGTTGTGTTCCGGCAGTTAGAGGTAGCCAGTTCCTTCGTGGTTGAGGATTTCGGGTGAAGCTCGCTTCCACCTTCGACGTCTTACCATCAGGTGAGATACAGGCCAAGACCTTCCTCGTTGTGGATAAAAAAAAACTTTAAAGACCAGCCATCCACGAAGACGCGCCCCACCAATTTTTGGTCTCGGTCGCGCGGGGTGCGGGGAGTGTGATCCGAGCAATCCGAGCGGCATTATTGTAGTGTGCGTGTGCACTCATGGATCATTTAGCGTGTACCGATAACACTCAAACATTAGCGGAAGAATGGTGGGGCGCGTCTTCGTGGAACTAGGTATTATTATTTATAACTAATGTTTTTTCTCAATACAGATCTCGGCTGGTAGACCCACTGCTACGCACACTGGACACCGAAAGCAAAAGACAAAATTAAATAAAGTACCACAGCATGAAACTCTTAGATAGAAAATATATTTGAAAACTTTGTTAATATTTCACAACTAGGTATCACCTAATTATTGTAAACCCTTGAAAAAGAGAGAGGCTGACAATAGTGACTGAGTTTCTTGCGCTGCTTCTTCTCAGCACTGGCCCATTTATTGTCCCGAAGCAGTGGTAGAGTTAAAATACTGGGACATGTAACACTTTAAAAACCTATTTGCTGAAAGTAAACGTCTTTTTAACTATTATGATTTCATGAATAAATAACTGCTTAATGTGCTTTCCGTATATTGTGTTTTATTGAGTCTGTTTTCCCTTATGCCTTCGGTCGACTGACCTCACTTTAATTAAAGGTCATAGCACACTTATCAACCCGGAAAGGGATCAACACCATATCGCCTTGCGCCGCGAGGCGAGGCGTTTACGTTGCGGTGCGGGTAAGGTCCAGAACAGACGGTGAAACGCAACTGCAACGAAACTGCAACTGCTAGTTACTTTTGAGTTGCATATAAGTTTCTGCCATAGCGTCCGTTGAGAGACCACACATGACGCGACCGGTTTGAAACTTTCTGTTTCAGTTTCATTCATCAGAATCACCACAAAGTTGCAGTTTCGTTGCAGTTGCGTTTCATGCTCCGATTTGAAATACCTTTTTGTGTGGTATATCAGTCTGTCAAGTCGAGCGCGAAGCAAACACTGCCGTACCATCCTTTACTGGAACCATTTCGCCGCATTTTCAGGCCCCTATTTGAGATTCCTACCCTACAGCCAATAGGGGCGGAGCAGTAAAGAAAAATGTTGCAAAAACGGGAAATATTATTCAAGAAAACTATTTCCACGCGAACGAAGTCGCGGGCACAGCTGCTATAACGTAGTCAGAGACTTCAGATGTTAATTTGCTATACAGAGTAGGTAGATACTAGTTTATAGTTATAGGTATTTAGTTCCAATGAGCAGGAAAATAAATACAAAAACATTAGCTTAGTTTTATCATAAGGGTTTCCACAGACTGTCAGTAAAAATAAATTTAACCTAAGTGGCAATCACGGACCGGAAGATGTATCCAAAAATTGGCAAAACTGTAAGTTCCAAAAAAAAACTGGAAGACGTAGCCCTTCGGTGGACCGACGATCTGGTGAAGGTCGCGGGAAGTGCCTGGATGCGGGCAGCGCAGGACCGATTGTTGTGGAAATCCTTGGGGGACGCCTTTGTCCAGCAGTGGACGTCATATTGGTAAACGAACGAACGAAGACACTTATGGCTCTTTCCTACTGAGACATCCCGTTTTTTGCAGGATCCCTTTTAGTAGACGTGTTATTATAACACTAGCTTTCCGCCCGCGGCTTCGCCCGCGTGGAATTTTGTCTGTCACAGAAAAACTTTATCGCGCGCGCCCTGTTGCAAAAACCGGGATAAAAACTATCCTATGTCCTTTCCTGGGACTCAAACTATCTCTAATCTGGAATGGAGGCCACGTACCGGAAAACGCAGCGTGGGACGTCCACCCACAAGGTGGACCGACGACCTGATAAAGGTAGCGGGAAGGCGCTGGATGCAGGCCGCTACCAACCGTGCGATGTGGAAGTCATTGGGGGAGGCCTATGTTCAGCAGTGGACGTCCTTTGGCTGAAATGATGATGATGATGATGATGAAACTATCTCTATGCCAAATTTCATCAAAATCGGTTAAGTGGTTTAGGCGAGAAAGCAAGACAGATTGTCGTGGAACAGGAACTTACGCCCGTATTCACAAACGATGCTTGCTTACGTGAAGCAGCAAATCGAACGCACAGCGTTGAATAGAGCTCTCTGATTGGTTCGTGTATCACCCTGTGCGACCGCACACTGTGAGACCTCATAGTAATGTTTGTGAATACAGGCGTAAGTCTGCAATTACCCTAATATTGAATTAACTGGTTTTCAAAACAGGTTATGGTGTTTTATTTACGAGTATTCGCGATTCATTAAGGAAGAACGCGGCTACAAAACAGTCTCGTGATTTAATATTAAAGTATTTTGTTGCAATACAAAATTTTATTATAACAATATTTTTCTAGTTAATTATAGATATTTTTCAAGTTGAATAAGTACCTATCGTATTCGAGTTACTAAGCGCTTCAAATTTTTGTTTATAAAATAAATATGTTTCAATACGTTTGTGTTCCAATGACACAAAGTTTAATGAAAATAATTTTTTTAGTGCTTCTTTAATAGTGCTATTAGGTACAAAATATTTAATAATGTATAAATATATAACATTATTGTCGTGTTTGTGTGTTGTTGCAGCACAACATGAGAAGTCTGAAGGTAAGATAAAATTTAATTAAAATTGAAAATATTGATACTAAGTGCCTTCCTATAATGTGATGTTTCTTAATAAACCATTACATATACCATAAATCAAAGCACAAAAGGGACAAACTTGACCTCCACTGGTTGGGTTATTGGCGGTCAAGCTGTAGATCCTACACAGGAGTTGAAAGAAAAGAAAGAAATATTTATTACGACGAACATCACTTAGAGAACAAAGAAAGTATACGCAAATAAGACAGAAATAGCACATAAATATTACAAGGAAATAAAAAGTGAACTGAGCAGTGCCACCCTGTCGCAACAGCGATGCCCATCGCAATGGGACTCCACTCAGCATATGCCGTGGCCCACGGTGGGGTAGGCCACGACTCTGGTTTTCAGTGTGCCCCATGCCGAGTAGAAGATGTGCATATGGATTGAGTGATCCTTGCTCCAATCTTAACAAAAATCGAGGAAGTTTTACTTAAAATTATGTTAAAACATTGCAGCGATGAAGTTTAAGTCACAGACACCAACCTAAACTGCATATAAAACAGTTTAAAAATAAATACATAATAATAATGTGCGAATAGTTGTTGAATATACATAATAAAACAATAGTTGCAGCGGTGGGACCGAGAGGTGGGAATATTAGTCCCGTGAAAATGTACCTTAAAATAATGTGACTTGAAAAAAGCCAATGTTGTGCCTCAACTCTGGGACTATCCAGACCATTTTTGATTTTGTTTTGATTTGATTTCATTTATAGGCGACGAGTGCTCAGATTCTATCGGCAATTCAGGGAGATGTGTCAGGATCAGACACTGCAAAGAAATTGAATTCATCAAGAAAGAGCGCTACTCTAACGTAAGTTTGGTCTTTGGTCATTTACTGCCCGTTCGCGCTAAGTTTGCCGGTCCGTGGAATGCGCGTGTCCCGAGTTTATGTACTTTCCTTAACTATGTGTTTCATTCTTTAAGTATTATCAAGACGACGACCTCATAAAGGTAGCAGGAAGGCGCTGGACGCAGGCCGCTACCAACCGGGCAATGTGGAAATAATTGAGGAGGCCTATGTTCAGCAGTGGACGTCCTATGGCTGAAATGATGATGATGATTGTGTAAACTTGGTTTCAGATCTGCGGTTCCAGCGCAAAAGACCCGATAATATGCTGTACAAGGAAAGACTTGAGGTATTTGTTGTTTTGAGTTGAGTATACATAGACTAGAGTAGGGATTCTCAAATTTCTCAAACTCCTTACGTTTACTTTTGTATTATCTGTCACGCTATATTAAATCAATGTCACCCATTCCCGTGTCGCTCCCATACCTCGGGCACTGAGTTAAGCGTTAGACCAGTTACCAGCGGTTCCCAAACTTATTTAGTCTAAGGTAAACGGCTACTAGTTCGTGATAGTACGTAAGTTCGTAAGTTTTTTTTCTAGCTCAAATAATAAGCAAATGGAATATTATTTATAAAAATTCTTCATTACTACAAAAACTCTATTATTTAAGCTATCTAAAAAACCAAGTACCAACATTGTGGCGCCAAAAATGAGAGCAATACGAAGCTTCAAACTCTCAGAGAGCCAAAAACATCCGTGCGGCTTGCAAAGCTTGCTCTCACNAGGCTGGTGGCCATATTAAAAGTTGTTCGTCTTGGAAAGACCTTCCAAATGACACTACAAACATAACTATTGGAGCCGGGTACCATTCTGCAAAAAAGTATGTATATCTTCGTACACAACCAGATCTGAGGTTGGTGGCCATAGTAAAAGTTGTTCATCTTGGTAAGACCTTTCAAACGATACTAGACACATATCTATTGGAGCCGGGTACCATTTTGCCCATTGTCCTTTGGCATGCAGGTACCTTAGTAAACTTAAAGCTTAGTTACAACAGGATATTGCAAAATTCCCACGGGAACGGGAGTTAGCGGGAAAAAACATTTGTATGAAAAAATCTAAACCGCGTAAGATAGATGAAGGGGGTAAAACGGGATCCACGCGTACGAAGTCGCGGGCGGCCTCTAGTAAATAATATTGTACAGTTTCAACAAAATCCGTTGAGTACTTTTTGCGTGAAAGAGTAACAAACCTGAGACACAGGAATCTTCCTAGTTCAGGTATCAACCCACCAACATTCTTACTTTTTGTTTTCCCTGATTGTTTGTTATGTTGGTGAGAAATAAACATTACTTTACTTTACTTTATTTTAAACTTCCAGACATCCAAACTTTCGCATTTATAATAATAGTAGGATACAATTATGTAATGTAGAAACAAACAAGACAAAAAAACAATGTATACTTTAGCAACGCGAATTTTTTTATACTTCAGCATATTTAGGACACCCGGCAGCGTGTCCTGCCATGATCAAAGAAAAAAGAACTCGCAATTTAGCAGGTACATTAATTTGACTGTTTCACAACTCTAAATCTATTTAACTTACATTACATGAATTTTATCACATTTATCAAAGCTTCTTAGCTTGTCTATGTCCCAAAAATTATAAAATGAAAAAAGTAGTTGTCAAAAACCTTTTTTAAGGCGGATTTTTTTCAATAAGGCGGGCGCGCGCGCGGCTGTAAACGAGGTCACAAAATTCGGAGAGAACATAGCGAAATCTATTTATTCACCAATTTTCAAAAATTCCGGAAAACTTTCCAAGTAAAATTAACAAATAACTGGACTATTTACTCGTTATTGACACAAACTTGGTTATTTTTCCAGAAAATTTACAGCACAAAATTGGCAATAGGTGGCATAATAATGGTTACTTTTATAGCGCCTAGTTTGAAATGTGATTGAACGATGACAACTAACAACAGTTGTCAGTTAGGTAAAATTTTATTTTAGTTGGAAAAAGACAAAAAGTGGTAAATGGGTTAACGTGCGGGGGCTGCAAAATCATGTTGTGACATTTTTGAAAATTTTAAAAAGTCCGTAAACTTCTCGAGGCTCTATCTTCGGTAATACTGGATGGATGGAGGTGAAATAAAAATTAGTGTAATGTGTGTGATCTAAACTTTAAATTAAGTCATAATTTAACTTAATATTACAACTTATGCGTGTTGTCCATTGCATTTGATAGTGCAAAACTGAGTACAGTCGTACCTGTGTTAAATCAATAGGCTAAAACTTTATGTATCAGGATTTAGGATTACGGGCTAATTTGATATTTTCATAAATTAACAAAAAAAAATTATTATAGGTAACCTGGTTTAAATAAATTCAATTAAACCATCAATCGAGCTAGTAGGATTTATTTTATTATTCATCAATAATCAAATTCAGAACTTGAATATTCAACTGCAATGTCTGCTCATGAACGCTTGAAACTCGGTACTTCTTTCCCAATTCCATAAAATTCAACACTTAGAATGTGACAAAAAAAATTAAAATAGGTAGTTGAAACAAACCACAGCTAATTTTCATAGTGGACTGTACTATACGATAAACATGTCAGTCAATTTGACAACCTTTGTCGGAAACATTATTCAATGAAAATATTGTCCGAACCCTTAGTATTTCTCTTCGACAAATACTTTAACACATTGTGAACCACTTTTCTTTCACGACTATAAAAAGATTTTAGCAATATAATTCACAAAATTAATTGCGCACATTTAAAATAAAGTTTGTTTACACTTTGACAGCAATAGACTGACATGCAAGGTGACATGTCAATGAAGTTTTCAGTTACTGTTGCCATTAAAAGAAATTAGTAACTACCATTAGTTTTCCGCAACATGGCGAGGGTTTTTATGTTCCTGGTCAGGCTATACTAATTTAATTAGTCTACAAAAATAAGGAAATTTTTGATTTCATTATGTAATAATAATGTAAACGCTTACACTAATCAATTAAATTGATAGAGTATTGACATTTGCTAAGACTGTTAAATCATAAATGTAAATTCGGGATCAAAATAATAAAACAGTCATAATGAAGATAGATTCATGAATTACTTGATTCATACACAGCTGCACTATTTTCAAGTGCCATATTAGGCTATTTTTATAGGCTATAATAACAACTAAATAAGCGGCCGCCTCTTAGTGGTTTGGATACCGTTTATATAAAGCCAACTGCGGCTGCAATCAATCAATCAATTTGATCAATAAATCATTTATTGTGGCAGTTAGGTAATACAGTAAAGTTTGAATTCCGTTGAGGGCAAATGTTATTGTCATCGTACAAACGCTTACTTTAAGACTATAACATTAGGGTGATTATTGTAAGAACTTCTAATATTTATAATAGACTCTAATCTATTTCGTCACTAAATGATGCATAACATTACGTTTTGACGTAAAACAACATCATGGCGAAGCTTTGAGGAAAGTGATCCTATTTAGTAAAAGTTTGTAAGAAAAACACCAGAAAATATGGATTCTGAATGTTCATTGCAAAATTAGCTATCCTAATGCAGATGTTCATTAAATTAAATGTCAGTGGTGTGTTTGAAATGTCTAACCAATACACATCGAATGTGGTTTTGTATGCTCATTTGTTGAGGATTTACGCCCGTATTCACTAACATTACTATGAGATCTCACAGCGCAGACGCACAGGGTGACACACGAACCAATCACAGAGCTCTATTCAACGTTGTGCGTTCGATTTGCTGCTACACTTAAGCGAGCATCGTTTGTGAATACGAGCGTTAGTTGATCTGCTTTACCTGTGTATTATTTCATCATCATCATCATCATTTCAGCCATAGGATGTCCACTGCTGAACATAGGCCTCCCCCAATGCTTTCCATGTTGATCGACTGGTAGCGACCTGCTTCCAGCGCTTTCCTGCTATCTTTACGATGTGTATTATTTAATGCAATTTTATTTAATACTTGTTGAGCAAATTAAGCTGTAATAATAATATGTTATTAAGGCTAATTAAACTTAAGGCTTAAAGCATAAATTAAGCTATAGAGTATGTTCTACTTTTGATCTTTTTATTTACCCTACGCCAGAGGAAGGTTATTGATTTGATACTACCTTACACCCTCTTTAAATAAATGATCATTTTACATAAGCTTTTTCAACGGCTTTTTAACGGAAGATCGGCTTTTTGATAAAACATTTTATCTGCTTATGTTTGATAAATACGTTGAAATGGAAAAATAAGCCGCTTATGTTGTAGGTGTAAAAAGTCGGTGTCGAAGTTTCCTTTTACTAAAGGCCCATTTAGGAACTATGAATATAATCCGCCACGTGTTGGCTTCATGAAAGGTCTGTAGAGGTCGATAGCATTTGACTTTTTGGTGACAAGTTGAATGGTGTCTTTCAGCCAGGATTTTCGTTAATATCAAATTTATTTATTTGTATAGAAGACCTAGAAATATATTTGGCAATTCTTTATAGGTAGGAAGTATTAAGCAAGCGAAGGAGATGAATTTTCTTAATTAAACAAAACATTTCACTAATATTTGTCTAATTACTATACTTACCTGTTTTTACGTAGTCCTAGCTTCGATGTATACGAGAAAACATGAACTTAGAATATAGTTGTAAACTAAAGCAGTCTTAATTTAAAGTTGGTTTCATACGTTTTATCATTATTTGTTCGGTCCAAAGTTCGCTGCTTGTTTCAAAGGTTTAATCTAAGTTTTGTTGTCTCCAGGAACAGGGAGACGTCGCCGCGAAGAAGATCAATAGGCAAGAGCAGCGAGTTGAAAAGTAAGTTTAGATACGCGTTACTTTTTACTTGTTAGTGTACTTACGGACTGACGAAGCTAAAAGCAACTTTTGGGGACGTATCCAAATAGTATCTACTGGTAAGACATTCTGCAGACTGCAGACTTTGAGTCGGCCGATAGTTGGGTCGACTTCTAATTTGTATGAAGAACCAGATCGGTGTTATGTACGCACTTTTAAACATTTCCATACTGATTATTAACAGCCTGATCAACCTATCGGCTGACAAAAAGTCTGTGGTCTACGAGGTTTCTTATACTTAATAATAAGATGTCCTGAGTAATCTGCTCTAACCTTCAAAAAGTCAAGATAGATACTGAAAACCGGCCTATTTCACTAGGCTGGTTTTTCACATAACCTGAGACTCGATACTAGTCAAGCCTGTTTTTCGCGGAAGCCAGATAAAAAATATTTTCACATCAATTCGAGATAAAACACCTGAAGAACGTCAATGTTGTACTTACTCGTATTATTTCAAATGCCCGCCAGAATAATACGTCTATTCAAAAGTCGGATTATTTTCCAAAAGACAACAGACGAAGACCCGCTTGAGTTACAAGCGATATCATCCGATTTACTTTTTAAAGCTAACTCGGTCTTACAGTTAAATTCTATCCAATTTAAACCCAAGAAAGTTGTTTCAATTCATACTCCAATCCAACTGCCTTTTTGCTTCGTTCAAGTTATACTAATTTTATCTGAGCACACCACTGTGATGTGAGTTTGCTAGCAAAAAAGTGTAGGGCAATAGAGTTGCATAAGACCGCTATAGTATAGGTACCTCCTGCTAATCTGCAATATGTATCGTATAAACAGGTTTTTTTTGCAATTTCGGGTTTAAAAACATTAGAGCAATCTCCGTTAGAAAACATAATAGGCATTATTCAAAGATCGACACGTCCATGCGATTTTCTGCTTAACGAGACTCAGGAATGGAAAATGGAAGCACTGGAACTGCAAATACGAGCTAAAAGGTGCAGCCGCGTCTCGATAGGCTAGGATTATCCCCAGACTTATAACCCCCAGCTTAATGGGAAAACACTGCTCTTACCCCCCTCACTGCTATTTCCTGCTTCTGCATATAGATTTTTACGTTTACAGCAAGATTTAAATTCCGTGTTCAAAGGAAATGCAGTATTGCTACATTTGCTACATATTCTTTTATTTCTGAGACCCGGTGACAATATTTGTTGTTCAATTTCCGACAATAGTCCTCCGAAAATATGTTGCTTGCAAGACCGAAATCCTGTTGCAAACATGTAACAGTCCAACCTGCATAATTTGTCTGTGTGTTTCATATTAACATGTCATAAAATGTAATGTCTTCATACTAACATCTTGAAAGCTAGAATATTTGCCTTGAATTTCCTTTTGTAGGTGCCAAATGTATTACTTTAACGCGTCTGAAATCTGAATGTGTAGTCCCGGGGAGGACAACTTTATCGTTTCAAACGGTTTCCGAGAAAATGATATGAAACTGCTTTCACGTTTAAGTACGTGCAGATGCGCAATGGAATGTTAGATTCCTTCGTCACTTACTTCCTTGTCAAGTCGTCTTTACTGTATTATTATTGGTTTCAGGGCCGTCACAGTTGATTGCAGAGGTGCAGGGCGGTAGAGCGACTCCGCAGGCTCCAGTCTACGCCACAATAAGGCCTTCACAGCTGCCTCAGAATCGGCCATCTTCGCTCTCTGCACAGTCTTCCCTCAATTCGCTGCCAACTGCGCTCTCTTCCACGCCGCTCGTGAAATCTGTCACGACCAGCGAGGAGCCATTACGGTTCCATCCGACGAACCCTTTTTATACAACTTTACCGAATTATTCAAGTGCTTCCAAACTTCCAGTACCAAATGCCAGAGCGTCCAGTATAGATAGAAGTAAATCCAAAGAAAACACATCTTCACTTCACGATCAGAGCTCAGATTTAAAATCGCCTTCATTTTTCAACAAAATCTACGACTCTGGCCCCAGTAGTCTTCCTCAATCTAACTTTAAGGAAACTGAATTCAGTAATAGTTATGTCGATTTAAAAAGTGAGAATGATAAAAGTGATCACAATTATTACGATAGTAAGTTCAGTTCTTATTTACAAAGTGAAATCAATGGTACTGGTAGAAATCCCTTTGATACTAAAAGAAACAGTGACCCCTTCGAAAAATACCTAAGGCCAGAAAACAAGATGAATGGAAAGTGTGAAACTAGTACGATGGTGAATTCTCATAGTGATAATAATTTTAGTAAGCATGAGGAAATTAAACGCTCCACAATAATAGAACATCAGGTGAATGAGGTTGAAGAAGTGAAAACAATAAAGAAAATCATTCTGAACGGCTCTGGAGATGCTACCAAAGATAATAACCACCATCATTCAAATTTTGATACTTCTGGCTTAAATGGAACCAGAGAAATGGATTCACGGGCATCTGAGCACCAGGAAAAGTTGAGAAAAGAAAGAGTCTTCAATATACCTATACATCAGGAGACTGCTTATTTTGATAAACCGAACCAAAAATCAAAACGCGACGAACGAAACCACAGTAATCTACATCCATCGACGCCAGAAGACTTCAGCAGAACTCCCACAGGTGAGTTTTTACTTTGCAAAGCTTATCACCTTTAGAACCTACATAAAGTTATTCCATATTAAATTGGCTCGCGCGTGACGCATTTATTACGAGGAAAAGTTTGGAACATCATTAGTATTCAAATCCGATTTCGTATTCATATCGCAGACCAAAAAATATTTTTGAATACTCATTTCGTGTTATTGCCTCCGATATTTTTAAATTCGTTTCAATAAATAATAAAATGATAAATTGATAAACGCGTGCGATGGGTTATCCCTACAGAAAGAAAATATTACTATTTGCAATGTACTGATTTATTTTAATGGAACTTCTCATTATCCATCAATAAATTAACAACAAGCGAACGATTAATAAAAGAAATAGGTACGAACGATACATAATGAGGAATAAATGGGGAAGGGAATTTAAATAAATAGACTGTAGTCCAACAGTCAATCTGTTTTTATACTCGTATGTATCGTATTACGTCCGTTCGTACCTAAATATAATATCACTGTAACGCCTGTGACACAAATTCAAGCTTTTACAAAAACTTAATAAAACATCTAAACACATCAAAGATCTTTGATACGACCGAGAAAGCGCCTTTTAAATGACAGAGTTCATTACAAACTACCGCTCCCAATGGCATTCGAGTTCCAGTGAGTTGCATCATTACTGGAACTCTTCAAAACTTCACTTAGTGAAAACTCGGAAAGTGACTAAGTCGCGAGCAAGTAGCGGAGTGCTCGGAAGAGTCGTTCAGCCAGCTCAGAAGTACTACACGGCGGTCTTGAATGCAGATTACTACTCGGGAATCTTTTATGCCACTACAAGCGGTTGACTGCCAGGTATTTATGAAATCTTAATGTACTTATTCGATACTTCAAAGATTTATACTTAAAGCTTAAATCTGGTCTAATGCGGTACCATTAGTCTAATTAGAAGCTCAATTTCATGTGATGGGGGATGCATACCAAATCGACAGCGCCTGCTAATTGGATACAGTCATAGAGTCGCCGTAGATAGATATTGCTATTCCATTACATTAGGCGTTAGTAGAGCAACTCTCAGAAATGCAAGGGCTTTGATTTGGAATTTAGAGGATTATATTAAACACTGTGGTTTCTTGATTAATGAATAAATTAATGATACCTTAAAGGAGCATTAATAACTACAAAATGTTTAATGAAATGTAAAGTAAAACGTACCTACAGCGCGCAAAAACGTTATTTTCTCCAGGCTGTTTTTATTGTGAGTAATTTTTCACAGATAATCTCGCGCGGAATACATTTTGATATAAGAAATTATGCTGAAAACGAGCAAAACACCTGACGTCCTTCGGGACTCGCGTGCTTATTTCCCTAGCGACTTAATCTTTTCCATAATAGTTTTTAAGGACTACCAGGAAAGCCAGCCATGAGGAAATTTAACTGAATCTCACCCATGCGGAAAATCAATTTTTGCTTCGTAATTATCTACCGCAGGCTCTGGATAGCTACTTAGATTTTTTTCCTTAACTAATTAAGTTATTACTGGTTTCATTGCGGGATTTCCTTGATAAAACCTATAAAAGTGAAGTTATTAACGTCGGTAAATTGCTTCAGTAAAGCCTTTAGTGTTGACTGTTGTTAAATATTATAGCAACGCAATTTAACTCGTGGAGTTTATTGTCCTAATCATAATTACAATTTGAGAGTTTAGTCAAATCTTGACAAAATCTCATAAATTAGAAAACATAATGTACCTAAATTGGACGTCAAAAATGTATATGTATGTATACTGCAGACTATGCCACATTAAAATATTGTACGACTTACTAATACTTGTATACCTAACACCTATCCCCAGAAGCGCCATACAGATTTCTTGAATGCAAAAGATATGCTCCAAAGAACAAAACATGACATAATTCGGCCAGACATATAGACGCGGTGCTCATTCGACTAGGATCATTAAATCATTACTCAGGCAAACTCGATCAATTACTAGCTTAAGACAAGCCAAGGTCCCTGGGCGAGCCCTGGGAGCGGCGTCACGCTCCGCGGTGCACCGTACTGGCTTCCCGAATCTTACCCAGTTCCACCGCCGACCTCCAACGTTCTTCAAGACTTCTTCGCGAGCACACGCGAATTAAACCCATCCTTAACTCTAAATCACCATGAACTCCCCATGTTTCAACACCAGCCCCTACATATTTCACCCCGTGTCGGACTCCTCCGCCACAGAAACGGATGACAGCGAAAATTCGGGAAGAGAAAAAACCGTCGACGGTGGAACACGAACGAAGAAATACACCGATCCGAAGCGGAGAACTATTAATAAAGTGAGCAAAAAAATATTAAAAGTGATCGAGAAGTTAACCTGCAACATAAAGAGACACAAGAAAAATAAGAAAATCGTGGAACCCAAGCCGGTGAAAAACGGTTAGTGTTGATCTTTTACGTTGTCTTTCAGTTTAACATTTTTGGGTAGATAGTGCCATAGTGTTAAGTCGGTCCTTTAGTTAGACCATCCATCAAACAGTAACTCGGCATACGATCATAAAGTTTCGTATCGTTTCATCGTGACTACGGGTCAATTGGAAAGGTCAATTTGATTTGAGTATATTAAAACAAGTGGGCCATAACGTGAGAATTTTTCCAAACGTGGCACTTTTCTTTAGCTATGAGAAATGAAACGTTTTTATGGCAGCGTGAAAAGGCACAGACGTCGTAAATTTGAGTTCACAATAATATCCAGATGGCTCTGATGCAAATAAAAAATGGGCTTTATTCGGTCTTATGTAGGTCATTTCTCATTATGCTAAATTTAACGCTCTATTTGTTTCCTTGTAATCTTCCTTATGCAGGTTTTTGGGTCAAGGGTGTTGGGGTTATTAAGTATACTTGGCTTTACGGACACAGATTTACATCCTCAATGTCCCAATAGGGCCTTGTTTTGTCGCTTCAATTTTATTAATATTCAAATTGATTTGCACCGTTTTGTACACCCCCATGCAATGAAAAAGAAACTTGCTACTTCGAAGTTCAAACGTACTAGAAGTTAGTGTGTCTACAAATTCACAGACTACGATGGTGCCGATATCGTAAAGTACACTCACGACACAAGTTTAGTTGGGACAATAGTGCGTGGGGTGAATGGGATTTCTGAAGTAACATAAACTGCCGGAATGTTTATATACGAGGAGTTTGAGACGCGCCTATAAACGCGCCGAGGCAGACGTTTCTCGAATGCCGCACGTTATTCGGTACGTAAGGTACGTAGTGACGCTTATTTACAATTTCCGGGTGTGAAAGGAATTTCCCTTATTTATTTGGTTTTGTTAATCTTCTATGTAGAAAGGTTATCTGATATCAAGATATTGTTCACGACTCTATCAATAAGTTAGTTAACCTAGAGTCATTTCGTTGAAAACGATAGAGAGCGAAGATACGGTGGTATATGTATAGTCGATAAACTGCACTCTTATAATCTAAAACACGTTTTAGACCCTAATTACTATGTACTAGAAGTTAGTTACGTTGTACTTACCTCATTATTTTATAATTGTATTTGTGTACGTGATTTGAAGTCAGTTGACGGCGCACGCACAGGCTGTAGATTATTTTTTACTCTGAACAGCTTGTCTATAACTTCTATAAGTTAAACTTTTTGGACTTTGCCAAGGAAATATTGATCCAAAATTGCCAAAATTATTAGTGATATTAGATTTATGACCCCGATTGCGTTCAAGGGATTAATCTCACAAACTTTGTTACCGATACTTTGTTTCGTTTCCTGATGTTTAGAGCTTTACTTTCATTCCCTAGGGAGCCATTAACATTTCCAGGATAAAAAGTGGCTGATATTTTGGAACGGTGTGCCTTACTTTCTTCCAGAAACTTTTTGAATCGTCGAAGGTAGATCTCGATTACCGACTCTTGAAAATACGATTAAAACTTACTTAAAACGAACTTAAAATCACCCACCTTAGAATATTTAGTTAACGTTAAAATAACTAATGTCTTTTAAATTGTAATGTTAGCTGTGTTACACTTTATGCACGAGGAAAATAAAAATTGTCCATCTAAGTATCAAAGCGGATGCTGATTCTCAAAGCTAAATTGTTACTTAGCTAAGTTCTTCAGCCTAATTTTTATTGATATTAAATCTACGCAAGCGAAGTTGCTGGAAAATTTGTGTGAATGGGTATACCTATTACATAAATTGTCGTATATTCCAAATCGAATTTGATTTAGTACTGGAATAAAATGTATCGCTGTGAGCAATAGCAATAAAATTTCTGACCCACAAGTTTTGGTTTCAAATTCACAACTTTATTGTCTCGCGGGTCGACTCGTGATCCGGCAAATTATGATAAAAGGCCGCTTCAATCTCAGCAAGACATTGCGATAGTGTCGGGGCGGGTATTTTTTTCCCCCAATTCTGAGAGCTTGTAACATTCTTGGAGGAAATTTGTATACCCAGACGGAATATTGTCTGGTTGTCACAGAGGCGCTGGATGATGGATCAGGGGTAAATACCTAATTCGTCAGCCGTTTCAAAGTAAACTGCTACATTGAGCCGAGGCTGGGTTTAGATAACGAAATGTTAAAGTTACATTTCATTCCATGGAAGAAATTTTAAAGTCATGATTTACCAAATGTACAAGTAGGTACTTAGAGAGTTTAAAAATAGTTTATTACCCAGAAACATACCCAGTTTGAACCGAGTGGGCAAGCTAGTTAGTATATCATAAAAATATGAACAATCTGTTTACCGGTGTGTTATAATTTTACATAACACCGGCTGCTTTATTGCAAACAAGACTATCGTTAATGAATTCACGAACCCTTGTACTTGCTCTCACCCGCGGCTTCGCCCGCTTTACCTAATTTCCAACCTGTCAGAGAAAACCAATCTAAAAATGTTAGTGTACCTACCTACTACTTATGAACTATCATCGTCATTCAGCATCAGCATTTTACTTTATTAGCTATTGCCCATGGCTTCTCCGCGAGAATTTCAGTCAGTCT